TCCGGAATCTCAAGTGGGAGTTCTGAGATACTGGGGCATTTTTATGGCCCTTTGTTTGAAAGCATGGTAATTTGCATATGAAGCTTGTATAACAATTATTAAAGACTCTTAGAACACTAATATGTTGCGTAGGTGTAAATATACAATATACACTCTCAATTAGATCATCTGAATACGAATTCATAGATACTAAACATGGTAGAGTTACTTATAGTGAAAGGATGACAGGAATGGGTTCCCTCACAAGCATGCCTAAAATAGTCTAAAAATATCAAAGACAAAATACACGATGACAATAATATACCCAATGACCTGAAGGATACACTGTTCATTCAAAGAAAGGTTTTCCTATGACTTAATTAGTAGAAAAGTCCATTTCTACTGTGCATTTGTGCCTCTTGCTTCTGGAAAATGCAGCTGAGAGTCTCTGCTCACATTCCACAAGGTCGTAAAAGTATCTGGTGTCAGCATTGCTATGGAACCAGGGGCCTGTTCAGCTTCCTGGGGTGTTACAGAGTATTTGTTAAATCTAGCTAACAAAATATATATTGTGTGTTTGAGTGGTCCAGACGCTACACTGCAGATATTATAATAAAAACCTTAATTGTTATTTCTACATATCACTACACTGTAAACTCTTAAACAGAATAAAAACATATCAATAGCCACCATCTTCCAAGATTTTAAGAACTTATAACTTGGTTGCTTTGATGTCTTCACAATCACCAGGTGCAGGATTGGTAATTTTTGGTCGCCTTTTGGGAAACAGAGGGATAGTGTGTTATTTTCCCTTAACAAAAAATAGCAAAATGTTTCTACACACATTTTAAAACAATATGTAAGACAAGACTTAATGTGTAGCTTGGGTATTAAAGAAATTAAAGAATAAATAAATGAACTGATTTTAAGACATGTAAGAACTGCAAAAATCACTTTAATCAGCAGAATTTCACTAAATATGACTATTTTTACCAGTTGCATAAAAACTTTGCAAAGTGCATGTACCTCTTGCCCTCTGCCTCCTCTGTTGAACCAGGCAGCTCAGTGCATCTGGTCTCAGGCAGCAGGAAGGCCATTATCCCACTCGCTAGTGCCAGGCTGCCAAACACCAGAGTGGGAATAGTGAAATGATAGATCTCCAGCAGGTTCACCACAGGAGACAACATACTTGCAGCACATGCTGCAGTGGAGCCCAGACCCATGGCCGTCTGACTGGAAATCAACAAGCAGATTATTACATAACTGCATTAAAAACAACAGTCTCATTCATACCAGTAGAAAATGACACAGGCTCATGCTTACCAAATGGAGGTGGGGAACAGTTCTTGAATATAAACATTGCAAACACTGCTTGCCCCATTCATGAGAAACCTTGCACATGTGGCAAGAGCAGCGATGGCGATGTAATTACCTTAAGAAGGGCATCACATGTTTAAGTGCTGATTCTTTGTACATTATAGAGTGGTAAATATGGAAAAGGTTTTACTTTGTGGAACTACAAGTGTCAGGAGACAGAGAGACCCTCCTACTATGAGGGCACCCATCAGAGACACCTTCCTTCCAGCCGTTTCCAAAGACCACATGCAGAGGAAGTGGACCGGAATCTCAGAGAGGCCGAATATGAGTTGATTGAGAAAAATATCAAGGCCGAACTTCGCCACATTCAGAGAGAGGCTGTAGTACCCTAGATTTAACGCACACCTGAGTATAAACAACCAATCAAGTTTAGATGTGACCTTTGAAAGTTCAGAAAAAAACTAATTCCAATCAAAATAAATAAATAAATTCTCTGAGAATTGACTCACCATGCGAAGGTAATAGTTAAGAAATATTTCCTGAGCACATGGAAAGCAAAAAGGATTTTTATACCTCCTCTTTCAACAGGCTTTTCATTTAGGACCTAACAAAAGATGTTATCCATATTGTGTTATTTAAGACAAATGGACCTGTCATTTGGCTCGTGGTGATAATTAGTGAAATATATCTCCACCAATGAATCTGGAACTGTACGTTTGTTGATCGCCGCTGCCTTCTGAATGAGTTCTTTCGCATCTGTAGTTCTTCCGCGGACAAGAAGCCATCTGGCAGACTCTGGAATAAACCTATATTGGTGTGCATATCAAATGATTCCATTCACTTACAAATTAATCCTTCAAACCAAATACAAAATTACAGAACTGCATTGAAATGGTTCTTTGAAGTGGGTTTTAAACATGAACACACATACCATATGTAGTACTCGAGTCCGGTCTCGATAAATTTATTGTAAAGTGATAAACTTATTGTAAAGTGTTACCGACTCTTTTTATGAGGTTAGAAATAGGGCTGAAAGATGAATCGTATTTTCATTGTCATTGCAGTATGAACATGTTATTTAGCAATGGGCACCGAAACGTGCTATGAAATAGCAGAGTTGGTGGATTTAGGCGCCAGAGTGCAGAATTCAGCACTCAACAAAACTCTGGCGTTTCAGCGATGACTCATCTGAATGCCTTTGATTGGCCATTGCATTAATAAACTCAATGGAATCGTATGTTATTGGTTGTAATGCTCACCGCTGTAAAAACAAAAAAACAAACAAAAAATATTTAGTTTTATTTGTTGGCCCTAATATGCACAGTTAATTATTCATTTATTTGTCACAAGTAATCATCACTGCAAAAAAAAAAAAAAAAACTCCACTGTTATCACACATAGCAGAATTTCCTCATATCGTGCAGGACTATTAGAAAGGCAAAATCAATGCAAATCAGTGGATATGTCTGCTATAATAGGATAGGTGTGTTAAGGCCAGTTGGAGCTAAACTCTGCAGGGCATTGGCCCTCCAGGATCTAGTTAGGAGACCCTGTCCTACAGAGTTGTTACTTTGCACATGCTTTTTGATCATTACAAATAATAATGTAAAATTATTTTCTTAGAATAGGAGATATGCTGTCTCTCGCATCACATACATTATCAATAGTTAAGTATGTGGTCTTGAAGAGGATCCTTTTTTTTCTCTCATTTGGACTCGGTCTTGACTTGGACTCAAAACTTTTGGACTTGGACTTGGACTTGACTTGGACTCGAACCTCTTTGGACTCGGTCTTGACTCGGTCTCGACTAGTCCTGGTCTTGGACTTGACAAAGCTGGACTTGACTACAGCTCTAGTAGACAACCACAAATGCAAGTGTGATGCAGCCATTATAAACTGGTCCAGTCTCCAGTCCCTGACATAATAAACAACGGCAAGAAACATGACCTGCCCCAAAGCGGAAAGGACTTGACTCAGACAGGCTGCATAGGATCTCTGAGCAACTCCAATCCACTCGGTGGCTACAGCCAGGATGAAAACATTGTGATAAATGGAATTATGATGAAAATACAGCTATTCTGTGTGTTAGAGTCACATATGTAGCCCATACAGTCTTACCCAAGACCTATCAACTGATTTGTTGATGATACAAAATGAAAGTCTAAAAAGGTTCTAAAAAGGTTCTATGTATTTTCTAAGTTAATGAGCCATCTGATATTTTACATTGAATATTCAATCTACTGATACTAGCCAGTCTACAAGCCAGGATGATGTTAAGGTTGAAAACATCAATATTGTCTCATACCAAAGATTATGCTGTTGATACAAAATCCTCCAAGAGCAACACCAACAATGAACTGTGATGAGAGGTACACATAAAAGTTTGGAGAGAGACCAGTCACCAGTGAATATTATCATGAGCACCATAGGTATCTGTGTAGCTCGCTTACGACCAAAACTTGATAGGGAGAGAGAAAGAAAAGAAAAAATATATATTTCCCTGGAAAGGACCGTTGATCACATCATGCACAAATTGAAATCTTTTCTGTATGCTGAATATATGATGTGGATTTATTTTTCATGTCATAGACATTAGATGTAGTATATTTCTATGGATATACAGTATATATATATATATATATATATATATATATATATATATATATATATATATATATATATATATATATATTTTATATTTATTATATTTTAACTATTTAAAATTATTTATATCGTGTAACGATGTCATATATATTTTCATAATTATATTACAAATTTTAAAATAACTCAGTAAACTATTCATAATACTTTATTTAACATAAAACATAAAAGAACTGCAAAAAATGTAAACGTGTTTTGTAATGCCTTTTTTAATACAGGGAGAAAAAAAGTCAGTGCCAGGGAGGATAATACTTTCTGTAACTTTGAGGGTGCAAACTACATATACATGAATTGCAAATATTGTAGAAACTTAATTTTCTGTTCAGTCTTTCATCATGAAAAGCACTATACAAATAAACTTGAATTGAATTGCAAGTTTAATGTGTGTGTGTGGGGGGGGGGGGGGGGGGGGGCCTC